TTACCGACAACATTTTCGTCGGTAATTACCGACGCATGATTTCTTGACAAAATTTTGTGATAACTATGGGCCCCACTTGATATGAATGGAGCCCAAACAAAATAAGACCCACGAGATAATTACTATGACATCGATTTTTCTATGGTCGGGTAGGTCAGAGAGGGAAACTTCAATTTCTTTTCCTTCATCCTCTCCTATAAAACGAGGCCTCATTTTCACTCAATCGGTGTCTACAATACAGAAAAGCAACATAAAATATTTCTTTCTAACACCATAAAGGTTCCCAAGAAGGCTATTGTCTACATTTTCCTATCTTTGTTCATAGTGCACGATGTTGCCTCCATGGTGACTTCTGCTGGAGTTTGCTTAAAAATATTACTGTCTCCAACGACATGAGTAAGTTTTCGTTTCAGAATCTGTACATTAACGGGAACTAGTTCAGTAGTATATGTTTTTCCCACATTATATATGGTTTATTGCACTGGTAAAAAAATTGTATCACATGTTCATGCGGCTCGAGCAACAGTAGAGAAAAATAAAGTGTATGTAAATACAACCGTTTTAAAGAGTGCCCTTGTCCACCACGTCCAAACCCAAATCCATGTGGGGGACGTCCCTTTTTTGCCGTCGTTCCTGCTACAAAATTCTGGGACGTTTCGGTATTTGCTTCTCAGTTGCAAAAGATGCTAAGAAAATCAGATCTCATAATTGACCCCGATAGTTNTACAACCGTTTTAAAGAGTGCCCTTGTCCTCCACGTCCAACCCCAAATCCACGTGGTGGGACGTCCCCTTTTTGCCGTCGTTGCTGCTACAAAATTCTGGTTTGTTTCGATATTTGCTTCTCAACGGCAAAAGATGCTAAGAAAATCAGATCTCATAATTAACCCTGATAGTTAGCAAGTTCCATTCACTCCATTATCCGTTTGCTATGCAAGATTTGATAGAACTGTGAAAAAAAAAATTCAAATATTATGTACTGTGTCAACTTTAAAAACTTACTTGTTAGTTTGCTTGCAAGTAATCCGTTTTTATTAAACAACTTTTCGTTTGTCAAAGTTTATTTTTAAGCTACCAGAACTAATAATATATATATATATCTAGCAGAAGTACCAATAATTGGAAGAATTATGCTTCATTTACATTTCTTGTTGATGTACATGTAGCATGATTATAATTGCAAAATTGGATTTAGTTATTGATTGATCAACTTAGTGGTGGTGAGATAGAAACCATTCTTTTAAAACTCTTTTTTTCTTAATACTCATTTTCAACGACACATTCTCACAACATAATATTCTTTAAATTCAAAAAAAAAATTCAGACTTTTTAACCACATTCTTCCAAAATTTACAATTTAGAAACTCATTCTTTCGAAATAAAAAG